AGATGACCTGATACTCTCTAGAGGCAGTACATGGCTAAGTTGTGTGAAAAGATACTGGAACAGGGAAGTAGCGTCTTGGCTTTCCTAGTAAAAGCCATAGGTGAGTATTGGTTAATGAATTCTGAGCTGGTGTTTGATGGAAAACTCAGGCCTTGAAGTCTTTCATGAATAAATCCATTAGCAAACCCTTTAAAAAGGTCTAACTCAATTTTCCTTCCCATTACCTCCAAAATGGATTCTAGCACAAAGCCAGTTAAAAGCAATAGGGAGGGCAAAACCTGACCAGAACCTGCCAGTAGTTTTCCTCTCAGTTGGATGGGAGGTGAGGCCATGCATGTGATGGAGGATGATTGCATCCCATTTTATCTGTACTTGTAGATTTAAAGCACAAGAAGAGGCTTCCTGGGGAACAGCTACTTCCCTGGTTCTCTCTCCAAATCCATGTGATGACATGAAGACAGACTAGGATTGAAGCTGTGAGCTGGTGGTGTTGCTTTTGCTCTCTTCTTGTTAGTATCGAGTATTTTACCACTAATAAACACATTTGTGGGAAAAGAAATCATATGCTCTAGTGTGCCATTGGCACATAGCGTATGTTTTTGTTGGTAAGAGACCCAACCCGCTTTGTTTCAGTGCCTGGAGTAAGGGCTCTTTTATCTATAGAGCTAGGGCACTGCGGAGAATCACTATGGAGCATTCTCCTTGAAGCAAAAAGCAGACATTGCTTGTAATATAACACATTTCCATGGGCTCTGGTGGCATGCAGGGGTAAGTTTTCCTTTCTCCCACACCAGGGTTGCAGCAGTAATTCTCTCCACCTGCTGTGGGAAGCCATGGATGGCTGATCTTTTGAGGAGAGTTCAGCTCAGGATTATACCAGTAGGTCTGTTAGGTACTGAATAATGTATCCTGGCAGCAACGTTTCAGTCGGTGACACAAATGTGACATTTGCCTGCATCATGTCTTTTTTCATCTGCTTCCCTTAGATCAAGGATGCTTAAAATCTCTGTGGTGTTTTGGATGACTGGTCATCTGTGGAAAGGGGGCTGGTTGAAGGTGAAACGGCCAAGACAGTTGCATCAAAACATCCTCGGAGAAACAAAGAGATCCCGAACGTGAACATGGCCCTTTCCCCAATAACTTGTATATGATGTGCAACCATGAAATGAAGCATATCAGGGAATAAAAGCAAGGGGGCATGATGCACACTGGTGCTTGTTTGAGTGCTTTGAGGATCATCTGCCTGTCAGAGCCATACGGTGAAACTGCTTGGGGTAACTACAGACTTAACAGAGTAAGATCTGCAACTCCAGGTGCCACAGAGGAAATAATTCTTATGATCAGTGAGGTTGCAGCATTACTTCTTGGGGTGGTTAGTAAGAGGTTTCTTCTAAGGTTGAGAAAAGGCCCAAAAAGAGGAACAGGTAAAGCCAAAATACCCCAAACATCTGTGACCTATGCTTAATTAAATTTCATGCTTGTCAGTTCCCCAGAGCTTTTTGGTACTCTATGTATCTTGACTTAAGTAATGAAGGCAATAATACTTGTGTACTGGGGGCAGTGAAATGTGTACTGGGGGCAGTGAAATGTGTTCTTGGTAAAACTAGGTCAGCATCAGGGTTTTGCATGGTTCAGACAGTCATCTTCTGATGAAGTTTGAGAGAAACTAGACTTCACAAACTTGTCTTCAGGGCAGTTGGCCTGTGATGGCCTTGCTGTCTAACAGGATGCTCCTGCTGAGGTTGACTTCAGAAGTCATCCAGATTTTTGTTTTCTACGGAGAAAGAAAAAGAGATCACTAGTCTGAACTGATGGGAGCAAGGTCCTCAAAAATCCTGAACTTGTAGCCCTGAGCTGTCTTCCCCCAGCTGTCAGCCTCAAGAGGAGGCTTCTGAAATCCTTTCCTTCTTTAAACTCTATGAATTCATCCTTTCTGCACATCTCCTGGTGGGACTGATGCCGTAACGCTGTTCCCACCATTTTTCTTAGAAACTACATCTAGATGCTAACAGATCTGCATGGAAGAGTTCAGTGAATTGCTTATTTTGATGATGATTTCTGGCCATCCTCCATCAGTCCTACATCTCTGAGGGGATTACCCATGTGGGGGCACTTGGATCTGGCAAGCTCTGTGGGAAAATCCCTTGTGTGGTTGTTTTCCTAATTGCTTTGCAAAACAGGACAGTGCTGGGCTGCTCAGTTACTTGAGATGATGAGCAAATCTGGACAAATCAAGGTGATTCCACCAAATGAAAGCTATAGGAGATAGGCTTCCCAAAGTGAAGAAACTAACTTAGCTGTGTGGTTGTCAGCCTGTCAGTTATCTCCTAGCCTTTGTGCCAGACTGTCCAAGCACTGAGTGCTGCTGCGATTGCTTCAATTTACTCTATTTACATGCATAGGAGGAGATGGGGGTGGGAAAATTGGTATTTGCCTCCACATCGAAGTGGAGGAACTGGATAAGCAGGGGAGTGTGCAGAGCAGTTTCCAGAACCACAGACTGAAGGATAATTGTAGAGACCAAATGCATCACAGAAAACCCAATTGTAATAAATTGGCCAAGAAGCTTAAAACTTTTGCTGTGCATTGCAGCAAACCAAGAATTAATTCCTGGGAGCAGACAAGGCCCCAGGCTGGCAGAAGGTTAATGTAATTGGCACTGGGTGCACTCAGACTGCATTGGCATCTCAGTGCCTTGGCACTTGAGGGGGTAACAAAGAAATGAGAGCTCACCCCACCAGCTACAGCACTAGAACTGATAGGATTTGGTGCGTGTTAAAGCAACAATGATCCTAGTGTGTGGCCTCTGAATGATCACAGAACAAGTGAGCAAATATAGACAATCATACACCAATAGACATGGCAAAGGAACGGACAAAGTGGTCTCAAGCTGAAAGACTCAGAATAGGCTCTAGAGCGAGGATATATGATTACTGGCTGAGACGTGGGACTCTGCCCGGACTGGGAGGATTGCAGGCATCAGACTTTGTCTTGTTCAGCTCTTGTTAAAATGGATTAGCAATGAGAACCTAGACCATGTGCTGGAGATACCCTTATGGATGTGGTTTTGTTTTGTTGGGTTTTCTTACTTTGGTTTGTTGGGGTTGTTTTGTGTTGTGGTTGTGGGGTTTTTGTGGTTGGGTTTGTTTTCTGGGTTTTGTTTGGTTGGTTTGTTTTGCTTTTTTGAGTTGGAGGGGTTTTTTGGTTGTTTTGTTCTTTAAGCTGTAGCTACTCTCTCCTTCCATGACAGGAACAGGACTAAACGCTGGAGTAAGAAAGGTGGAGGTATTAGTCATAGTTTGCTTGACAGGGCCGTACTTAAGGCAGTCGGAATTAGTTTACTGCTAGGGAAGGTGATGTGGGGTAATGAACATAAATTAAACCATTTTCCTCCTCTGTCTCAGCCTGGCTTGTGGTGAAGACTTGATTCAATATAGGGTTTTCCATGCTTTACAAGCCTTGACAGAATTAGATGTCACAACCATCTACATGGAAATAATACTGTGTGGACTCAATACGACACTTCAGATTTGCCAGTGGAGTATCTCCTGTACTCATGCCGTCCTGCCCAGTGGGCTGCAAGTGTCCTATACTGTTCTTGCTTCTTCCAAACACGTCACGTTGAGGTAGACCCCCTACAGTAAACAGAGGCTTTGGGATCCTCCTTTTTTGTCTTTGTCAATGCATGGACGAGCTGATGTGCTGACTGGCAATGGGATATATCCATTTTTGCAACCTTTCAGATCTAGCTAGCTAAGAAAAAGAGGAGTACGTGTTTTCTCTGTGCTTTCTTTTGGTCTGCCTTCAGGGGTCTTCATAGGGATATCTGGAGCTGCTTTGTTTCTTTGAGAATCATTTGTTGCCCAGGGTCTGATGTAATAGATCTGGAATTCTTCTTTAAGTGTTTTCTATCTGAAATGCAAAGCACTTTGTTCCTGGGATACTGGGTGCACCCAGAGTAATGCAGTGCTCCAAGTGAGAGCTGCACAGGAGATGCAGAGCTCCTGCTGCGTGTGCAGTTGCATAGCAGCCACGTGCTCCAACAACAGGAAGTCAGCACTTTCTACTACACCTTGTGTAGGTAGAGGGCAGGTTGCCCGAGTATTGAAGGGGTTGTCTTGCTGTTACATTGCAGCAGTGTCAAAAATCTTCTGGAAGTCCTATGCTGCATTCAATAGGGTATGCTGCTAAAAGCTCCAGTATCCTGAGACCCCAGTATCTGTTCACATGCATGGATTGGGTTCTTCTCTGGCTAGCATCTACAAAAGGTTTTTTGTAGCTGGAGTTGGTATCTTTATGTATAACTGATCTGTTTATCACCAATCATTGTGAATAATTTGCCTCTGGATAACTGCTGGTAATTGCACCTGGAACCTGATGGTGAGGAGGCTTGTTCGTGTATTATCCATGTTGTAGTTGCTGACTGCTTACTCTTTATATACATATATTCTATCCATGAATGCATTTACTTCAGAAGGGGCCTAAGGAAAATGTATTTGAAGTGCATGTGTTGTTTCTAAGCTTGTCCTGATTAACTCTGGGGAGAATGTGATACACAGGCCAGGAGCAACAGAGACATTTTTATTAACTGCTTTGGCTCTGTGGGAAGCACAGTGAACCTCTGAATGTGTTTCCAAGGGGTCACACAGACTCTTATTTCATTTTTATCTGAAAAGCAAAGGCCAGTTATTCCACGTGAGCTTTTAAATCAGAAGCACAATTTAGGGAAATCCATCAGGATTGCTGCATGCTGCATAAGACCCGACAGTTCTCTGGAATGACTGCTTTCTGTCTCGGTTTCCCTGTTGGGATGGTTGCTGTGCAGAATGGGACTGTCCTTTTCTCAGACAGCACTGTACCCAAGGGCAGCTCTAGGCTGAGGTGTCACTGCTGTCTTGGTGCTGGATGCTGCTTCTGCCTATACTCGTGCAGCTAATGCAGAAGGTACATAGACCTTGAAGTCTGCTTTTTCCTTTCATCCTGTTACTGCAGAGCTAACAGACTGGTGCACTGATCCTGTGTGCAGATGTCTGCATTGCCTGAGAAGAGCTCTTCACTCCAAGTAATCCAGAGATGTGTTTGTAATGAGATACTTGACAAACTGTTGTAACTTGACAATTCCTCACAGTCATAGGAAAATACCTGTACCAGGTGTTTCTTAAGGTAAGTCTTCTGTGGTCCAGCAACTTTCCAGGCTACTTCAGTGGTATAAAATTACCACCACAAAATGCTTCCATAGATAAAAGAGTAGGAACTTTTCTGTTATATTTACAATGCATAATCTCCTGGGTAGTAGTTAGGTGTATGAACACTACACTGGCATTTCCTCTTTAAACATTGTTATTTTATTGCTTTATCTATCTAGAGGAGAGCAGAAATTATCTTTTAATTACAATGAATTTAATGCTATTGGTTATATAGCACTTTAGCTCACACGCAGCACGACAAAGCTTAGCATTTAGTATAGTCCTATGATGCATCATTGATTCATCTTTTCATCCTGGAGTGCCAAGTATTTCCACATTGTTGCTAAAAGCAGGTAAAAGATTATAAGCAGGAGATGTTTAGACTGACTTAGTCAAAAAAGAATCAAAATAGGACTACATAGGGAGGCATGGGAAGGCAGGTCATGCTAAGGCTTTGCCATGCTGTTCCTGAGAAGAAGAAAGAATAGGAATAAATACTCTGTCATTATCAAAACACAACACTATAACGTGAAGAGGTGGAGTAATTTATCTGTAAGTAATAGACTGACCTATTCAGAACTGCAGTTTTAATGTAAGGCTAACCTTTGAAAATGGATCAAGTGATATAAATTATTAAGGAACAGGCATTCGTCAGATAGATGGTCTCTATTAGTAATTTTATGCATGAATAGTTATCTTCAAAGGTAGAGCTGCTGTCTGCTGAGGAAGAAAGTGCAAAAGCAGATTACCTGAAGCTGATGTGTAAGGCTGACTTTCATTCTGTGTGTTCTAATCCAGTAAAAACAAAAGGCTGAAGCAGGGTCATCTCTCTTGCTACCCAGCCCATGCAGCTCTTAAATCCTCTTGCTTGCAGAGGAAACCCCTGTTGCTTATGTTCCTAAAACATCTTCCACTTCTGCATGGAAAAGTAGGAAAGCAAAGGTAACCTTAAGCTATGTGTTCCTAGCCTGTTTGCTCCAGTAAGCAAAACCAACTTCAGGCTTTTCCTGGTTTCTTCTGTCTCCAGCTTTTCGTGTGTCTTGTCTTCCAGTCACAGATGCTGCTATTGCTCAGCTTTTGAATGTGGGTTTGAAAGGGATATAATACCAATGCATAGAGGGTATTACAGGCTTTCCTCCATCCTTTAACCACACTGATGTCTGTAGTGCTTTGGGAAGAAGTGTGTACACTGAAGCACATCCCTGTTAAATGGGACTTATACCCAGCACATGATGCTTTTTCACACAGTCCCTGCTCTGCTTATTTTGCATAGTGACTTTTAGCCATTGTGTTACCTCCACATCATAATATAATGTATTTGTTCACTTCTGACATCTTTGTTCACTCCAGAGGTGAAAGGGGAACAATCTACAGTGTGTCTCAAATTCTTCTAGATTCTGACAGGCAACATAAATAATCATATCAGGGAAGACACCTTTCACATCCAAAAGAATCTAGAAACTGCCCACATGTACATGAGCATCTCTTCTCAGCAGGAATCCTCCTTTTCTCTTTTCCCAAGCACCAGTCTCATCTATATTTCCATTTGAATTAAGAAAAGGTTTTGAAGGGAACTGGAATTTATGACCCCTCTGAAAATATCTACAAAGAGATTAAGTTTCTGCATCCTATTTTCTTCAAATGGCAGGGAAAAAATGGAAACATAAACACATGAACATCACTCCAGTGTCTGGAATCTTACTGATTTCTCTCTTTTCCTCCTTTTTCTTCACTAGTTCATGTGTGAAGATGAATGTTTTGTGGTTAAAATGCTGGAGTGGGATGCAAATGATGCCAGCTTAAACTTCCAGATATGTTAAAGGCTTCCTCTGTGATACCATTAAATAGCTCTGTGATCTCTGCATGCACTTTTAGCTACAAAAAGTATCTAAAAATATGACTTTCACATTATTTTTATGATTTAGACAATCATAAACCAGACTCTGGATATTTAAAACCCACTCACTTTGTTTCTTTGAACAAAATACCTCCTGTTTGCGTTGAAGTGATACAGGTTAGACTTTGTAAAAAAGATAAGCATTTGGCGTACTAATTTGAGGAGCAACAGTTTTCAGTAGCCTGGAACCCTTTGCAGTATATTGATGTTTCAATTTGTACAGAGTAGCAGCTGCCCTTAATGATAAAGCAACTGCTCTGCTCTGTGATAATTTGATGTGGCAGCAGTAGTCTCGTGGAATGCGACATGACAACTTGAAATAACAACATGCAGATACGATGCCACAGACATGTCATGAAATAACATCAATTACTAGAAATTATAGGAAAACATCTTCAGAGCAAAAATATTGAGACAAAAAGTTGTCATCGCACCAGAAGCTGAGAGGAATATGCTAGTTTGAGGTTCCTACTAGAAACAGTTTAGTTTAGTTTGACTTTTTATAATTTGACTTCTTAAAATCGGCACATTCATCACTAGACTAACTTGTCATATACAAAAGTAAGATGATTTTCTAGTATCTGCAATGCTTTTTAGTGTAAATTCTTTCAGGCTATTGTCATGTGTGTGACCATGCTCAAAAGGCCATGAAGGCTATGCCCACATTAACAAGTAATCTATCTCAACAGGAATGCATGTAGAGCAAAACAGTGCTGAAGGTCCGCGTTCCCCTCTACAAACATTTCAGAGGATTTACTTCAGGTAGCTGTAGTCTGACTTGTCTGCTGGCCACCGTTTGCTGGAGGGCAGTAGGTGAGCTCCTGGAGTGCATCTTCCAGTCTAATTTTATCCTGAATTAAAATATGGAGCTCCAATTCAGTCTGTGAGGGGAACCAGAGCCCAGCAAGTGGAGATAATCAGGAAAGCATCTTCATAAAGCACACCTTTTTTCACAATGAAGCACTAACACATGAATGTCCAAAGACATCTGGGCTGTGTGAGTGCTTCCAAATGATGAACTAAATTGTTTATTCAAACAATCAGCTTAATCCTGTTGGAGGTAAGAGAATTATCGCTGTGCCGATTAGAATTGGATCAGTGGATGATCCTTTTATCCAGGAGCTTCCTTCATTTGATTGGGCTTTGCAGGTTCAAAGAAAATGGAAATTGTTTCTTAACTATCTCTGATGTTGAGTAATGGAAAAGCCAAAGCTTGACCTTTTTGAATCATTTCCTTTACAAATAATGCCATTGTGGCCCCTCTTAGACACTGTGCTGGACAAATCTTTATGCCAGTATCTATTCTGAACTTTATTCTCCTTGTCCTGCTCTCTCCAGCTTTCTCTTTCTGTAAAAGGAGAGACTGCTTCATTCTTCTACGAAGGCTTCTGCTGAACAAAAGCAGCTGACTCTGAAAGTCATCCTCTGACATCAAACCCTTAGACTTTTCAAAGCATGGCTCAGGGTTTTAGATGTGAAGCTCCTACTGAATTTAATTGGAGCTGTGCAGCTGCATCAAACCTTTCAAGATGCATACCCTGAAATATTCATATTGCCTTTCTCTCTTTCCTTTCTCTTAGCCACATTTGTTAAAGTTTAAACGAAGTGGCTTCCAGTTCTTGTAGGTGCAAATCTGTGCTTGCATAGTCTATGAAGACATTAGCATTTAGACATTGAACACCCCTTGATTTGTATGCACCAATCACTTGGTAAACAGCTGAAGTGGTTGCATATAAGCTGTCAGTTAATTCTGGCTGCAGAAATTGATTCAATTTTTTAAAAGTCAAGCCCTATCAGGTATCTTCTCTTCTGTTACTTGCACAAAAAAATGATTTAGATCCTAGCTTTTTAAAATCCCCCCAGTTCAGGTGGAAGTTTTCCTGTTGCTGGTTGGTTTGCTCTCAGTTTGCATGATCCTAAGGTAGTCCAAGGTTGCTTTCCTTTCAGAAGGAGAGCACAACAAGAGGTAGGGTATTAAAATATGGATGTATTCCCTCAGTTTGCACAGCACCCTCAAACAGAAGGTCTGGGGCAGGGCTTGGCTTTCTGTGGTGAGTTTGTTCAGTGAGTGAAAGGGGTATGTGAGTGCTAGGCATAAGGGTTCTACAGTGTAATAAGGATGGCATATAAGAAGGATTATATCACTCTTTAGAGACACACATGTATTGAGTATCTAATAGAGGAATCTCATCTTCAGATATGGTTTCAGAAATAATTATAGTCTGTTCTTATGACCCTCCAGAACCAGTCATAATCTTATTTTCAAGTTTACCCATCTCTGAAGGCTGCTTAACATGGAAGAGTTCCTAATTTGTTGACTGTAAAGCAGCTCCCACTTTCTGCTTGAAGGTGGGAGTGCTTCTGTTTATAAGGAAAAGCCCAGGAGAAACTACAAGGAATGCAGCTGTCTAGTCTCTGTCTCTGCTGATATGCTGCTCAGCCTTGATTCAGTAACCTGTTGCCGCCTCAGTCTACCCATCAGTAAAATGGATATAAGGGTAAAAGTAAGAATAATGAAGGTCAATCTGTGGCAAAACCTGACTTTTTCATGGCACTCACCATTTCTCAGAGTTGCTGATACTGCAAGCATATATGAGTTCCAGTGCTTCATAATTCCCTGCTTATTAGGTGTACTGAATTAACTCACCACATGCATGGCTCTAATCTACTGCAAACACAGAGTGAAATGCATTATCTTAAACCACCATGAAGGCAAGCTAGCTGGTAAGTAGAAAATCAGAAAGATCCGATTACTGATTTGTTTGTAATTGTGGGTCCACACCCGTAATTCATGTTTCTGGGCTGATCTGAGTCCTTCAGAAGCAAAGGGTATTAGGAGAACTTGTACTTTGGTTTGTTGCTGTCAGGCTTTGTCAAATCTCTTGCATGAAAGGCTTCAGAAACATTGTTTTATCCTTCAGCCCAGGAAAGAATTGCCTCATCAGCAAGGTGCTTCTATTTTAGCTGCCTACCTTTCTAATTGAATTTAGAATATAACAGAATCATCACTAGCAGCACTGCAAACCTTCCCAGTTTGATTTGGATAATTCTGCCTCGCTGCTGCAGGGGTTTTCTACATACTTTTGGGAATACCCCAGGAGAAATGCAAATTGTGACATAGAATTAGTTACCTCTCTGCAACAGCCAACAAGATCTAAGTACGCTCTCTGTGTCTCTGTCTCCTTCTGATTTCACTTGTCATGTGTTTATATTGGCAATTGTTTTGTATAGATAGACTTGTAGTGTTAATATCCTGCTTTGATAATATTACTCTTCAGGAATCTTAATGAGTGGCTTATGTATGTAGCATCTTTAAAGCCTTCCACTGATGGTATTTATTCTTTATTTTCTTTAAGTGGTGAAGGAGCACTGCTGAAGCCCCCTTGGGTAAACAGTGTTTAAAGTAGTCCATGCATTTTAATTAGAAAAGAAATACATAGATAAGGATGAAAGATTTGTTTTCCTCAGGCAAACCATGAGAACATCAGGCCCACAGGTAGCTTAGTTTAACTCCAGAGAGTTTACATTTATATCTCCTTCTCTAAATATTAGAAACTCCATTCTGATACAAGCGGGACAAATTAAGGTAAGATAAAGGTGTCTTCTCTGCTGGAGGCTGGAGGCTTAAGGTCCTTCTTGCTGTACATTATTAAGGTGTCCTGCATGGGGGGGGGGAGCAAAACTAGAAAAAGAAAACTGCACCGCAATCTATCTATGATCTTTCTGTGCACAGGAAAACATGGGTTATTTTAACTAATGATTGGTTATGGAAGTGGGTTGGTTGTGTTTTTCCTGGTCATGAACCAGTGGGTCTACAAAGCATATTTATATGTTTTAATTATTAAAAATCAGTTTGCTGTGTTGGCAAGCTTCTTGTAGAAGATGCACTTCTGGTACTCGCCTTTGCTGCGTAGCTGTAGGCCAATATTTAACTTCTTGAGTAGGTTTGGTTTTGCTTTTGTTTTTAAACTTGAGGGTTTTTAAGCCTCTTTTGAGAGCTAAATGACTAGCCTGTGGTTAAACAGCATATATGCAAGTACTTCTTCAGTATGCAGGGGGTATGTTTTCAAGTGGAAGGTCAGCAATGAGTTGTAGAGGCAGGAAATTTTTCAGAGCCTGCATCAGTCCAGTCACTTGAACTTAGAGCAAGGGTTGCACTTTGCTTTTGGGAGGAGTACCTTAAAGATTGAAGGAAGGTAAAGCCATGCACAGAAAAGTCTGAGGAAAGATGTTTTGTTGTGAGTTACTTTCCTAGCTGCTGTAGTGTTCCCTGTCTTTGGAAGGGTTTGGAGACTGATGTGTGTAGAGAGCAACAAGGTTTGCTGTTGCTGGAGAACATCAGGAACACAAGGAAGGTGCTGCATGCTCACAGGGCTACATTCATTTCCACACCATTTTCTAACTTTTCTAATGTTTTCAGCTGAGGAACAAGAAAATCTGGATGACTTGGCTGAGATCAAATAGAAGGGACACAAATTGATTGTAGGCCCCTGGATGGCCTCCTGCTTCTCAGTGAGAAGGCTGAGCCATGGATGTTGCTGCTTCCTCTTCTGCCTTTCAGAAGCAGCCAAAATAAGGGTGAATGACTGAACAGTGGGATTTTTCTAAATGCCTGCCTTGAGACCATTGTCAGCACAGCTCACAGATGCTGTTAGGTTGGATATAAAGGAAGGCATTATACCTTGCAGTGTTCATTGTGTAGGAGCTGGTCTTATAAGGTGTCTGGTCCTGTACTGTGACAGACTGCATATAGGCACATCACCACCCGTATGTTCTACTTTAGAAGAAGGCTGAATATGCTGCAGAACTTGATTGAGATCCTGTGATACCAGAATTAACTCATGTATATTGTGCATTATTCAGTAAAGCAAAATGTCTGGGAGAGGTGTCATTTCCAAATATGTGTAAGATTGACTTGATTTCAAGACCTAGGTCAGATTCTTTAGTATTACTAAGCCCAAGGCCTGAATGGGAAAGGGACAGTATCTGCTCTCTAGGTTGTGCACTGATCTAGGTAGCCTCTGGGCTGCTCTAATTAATCTCTCCCTTGCTTCAGGATATTCAGAGCAAGAAGAGCAGACTGGCAGCCAGAACCATTAGGTCTGTGCCAGATGAGGTTCCTACATGCTGGTGGGGTCTGTAGGTCTGCCTCCCAAACCCTTTGCTGTCCTGATGCCATCTGATTGGGACAGCCCAGAGCTTTACATGAAACATTCTGAAACATGTGCCAGGACTGTAACCATCATTGTGTGCAATTATGGCACACACATAGGTAGATTTGCTAAAGAGGATAATGTGGAAGAGCCTTCCATTTCCTAAGCAGAAGCCTTTGTTTTAGAAGCCTCTGCCATTTACTGGTCATTTCTTGTGATATTGAAAAATATCAGTGCTGTCTCCAACCTAATTACCAGAGTAAAAGATGAGTTATCACTTACCAAGGCTTTGATTGCTTTTTCAGCTTTGTATGGCCTCTTGGTTGGTAGGTGGAATTGTGTACAAGATAGGCCTTTTTTTAGGGAAAGATATATATAAAAAAATAAAATAAATAAAGGAGCCAAAAATTCAACTCCCAATTCTGTGCTTTAATGTTTTACAGTTTTGCAGGGTTTTTTGACATAAGGTCATAGTAGTTCTCCTTTATAAATCAGGAAAAATAAAATCTCATTTAAGTCTATCTTTAGGTTCATATTTCTTAAAAATGTATCCCTTGAGAATGAAGACGCAGGTTCCCAAAGTCTAAAACGCAAGAGTCAGCAGGAGAAACAGCTTGCTTGAAAACAATCTGAGGAGTAATTATTAATTAATGTACAAAAAAAGATTCGGTGTGCAGAAATCTCTGCCTTTCTCTCATTTTTATCACTGATTTCCTCTTCTTCTGGACTTCAGATGCAGCTCTGAGCAACCCAGCTTATGTTGTTTCTGCAGATACAAATAATCAGAAGAGAACAGGTCATATGTTTTGACAGATACCACATAAAAGGAAATGTTTAGACTGGCATACCCATACTCAAATTTGATTACAGGGAATTAAATTTCTTCAAAGCAAATGGCTTTTTTTTTACTTCTCGGTATTTCTCATGCAATTAGCAAGTTGGTTCTATTAACTCTCTTGACAGACAGTATTACGGATCTTATCAGCTTTCACTTGTGTATGCAGGGCTTTATTAGCTTCTTGTTTGCTTATGAACTTCTTTGTTGACGATAAAATTGGTGGGTAAATGTGGGACATACGTGTCAGGGTAGGACGTTGTTTGCTTCGCTTATCAATAAATAACAAACTTTTGGCAAATAAATAAGAGCGACAAGGGAGCTGGTGGGTCTCAGGGTTTCTTTTGCCACTGTTGGCACTTGCTTGTGTTGCTAAGTTACTGCAGCTCCTGGCTTCTACTTTAGAGAGAAGAAATTATTTTTACATGTATAATGAACACAGTACCAGGGACTCCCAGAGCTGTGCTGGAAGTGACTGTAATACAGGGGGCATTGTGAATGCAGTCTGAAAGCCAATGCTGCAGAACACTGGTCTAATACAAAACTAGGCCCTACCATCACATTACAATGACAAAGGTGTGCATATTATTTATTTTTGTCCAAAATGCCTTAAAAATAGCAAGCCGCAATAATGAACCACTGGATTGGATGGTACCTGCCTCTGTCACTTGCAGGGTATAGGCTGAGAATGGTGGTTTTTCTGGGAATGATCATGACTAGAAGTAAAACTTCAAAATTAACTTCCCTGAAGAGAAAATATTCCCAGAAGAAATCGTATTTCCCTACTGAAAACTTAGTTCTTTGAATCACTAGTCAAAAGTATTTATTATTCCTGATATTGCAACAGTGAGTTCATTATTACAACTATGAAAGTAACAAGCAGTAATGCCTAATTCCCTAAGTAGGAGTTTTAAACTCCCTGTCAAGTTACCCAGCATGGTCCTTGCTATTCCTTTTTCTGAGGCAAAGGGAAACTGAGTGGTATTACTTAGGGTTCAGTTGCTTTGCTGTTACAAAGGCTGAAGCTCTGAACTGAAAAAAGGAATCAGTTTTCATACTGGGAAATACACAAAGAGTTTTATTGATATTCCAGTTGGTGAGAGGAAAACATTATTTTCCTGCTGGTTAGAAGTTGCACTTTACCATCCATTGCTGGGCAATGTAAGCCCTTTGAAAGGGCTGGAGTTCAACTCTACTTGGCTTCAGGCTTAACCTGCCTCTCTAGTGGAGGAGAGGAGTCCGGGGGTCAGATGGTGGGAGCATGTGACTCAAAGTTGCTGGGACACATTGGAGGATGGCCGGAGTCCAGGGAGATGAGCACAGTGTAGGTAGCTTAATGCAGAAAATTGCTAAGTAATGTGCTTTGGCAGCAGGTTCTCTGTCCAAGTGCTGTGAAATCATACAGGCCAGTGGGAGGGGAAGGGATGCCCTATACCAGAGGGTTTAAACCCAAAGAGATACAGCAACCACTGTGTCTACAGAAAAAGAAAATATGAATTTCTGGCCTTTAGTTAAGCTTCTGGTTTATATCAGTTAACAGTTTCAAGGTGCAGAAATTAACACAACATACTACTTGCCAGTTAGGCAAGAAGTCGGTAGATCCCAATGCAGCAGGAGGCGAGACCTTGATAGTATGCTCTGTAGTCTGAGTTCTTCTACCTGAATTTATTCTTTCATCTGGTCTTTCCTTTTCCTGCTGAAAAGGGTTCCGAAGGGAAGGGCTTTGTTTTTTTGTTTAAGAGTTCATAAAGTTGTCTCAGTTCTGCTTCTGATGGTGTCCGTAGGTGTCCTCTTCCTGCTACAGATATTTCCATGGGGTTGTAGGGAATAGTCTTGTCCATTCAAGGGAAATGGTCCGCTCTGCTCATTGGGAATCTGATAAAAGACTGCCAGTGGCTCTTTTTTTCTGGGTATCTCGGTTTTCTCTCGGGCTGAATTGTCTAAATTCTGGATTCATATATGTAAAAGAAGAAAGTATGTGAAACCTCAGGGACCCAGCTGGGGCGAAGCAGCAAGCCCCAGGACACCTGTCTAAGGGAAAAAGTAGAAAAGTTGTAAAGATGACACTAGTACTAAGCATTTCTTTTGCAGATGGTTACAGGTATAGACTGACTTGCACACACACTACCAGAGGCACTTTTCCCTTCATGCCCCCAGGAGCCAGCTTGGATGTCTGATTCATCTCTGCAGGCTGAGACAGAGCCATCAGGCTCTGAAAATTTGATTTCAAGGGGAATTCACTTGCTGTATGAGCACAGCACTCCTCAGGACAGCTAGCCCTCTGCGGAAATCATCATAATTGTGCCTAGGCTTCTCAAAGAAGGCTGGATTTCCAGCCTCCCCTGGGATCTGGGCTCCTTATGCAGTGACATGGCTTTAGAGACATCCTTTCTTCTTAGAGCAGATGGATTCAGTGGGGGGTCTGAAGAAATGGGCTTTTGAAAGAGAACTGGTGAACATAATGGGGAGCAGGAAACTTTCTGTGTGGTTTTAAACTTGCTCCTCTGGAGTCTAAGACTATGCTGATGTCAAAATTTATAGGTAAGCCTCTATTGCAGAGAGAGGGTCTGGTTAAATCTCTGTCTTTCTCTGCTCAGCAC